CACACTTATTTTGTTTCACACCAATGTCAAGGAAAAAAATAAATAATTACGAAACTTAAAGCAAATATCGCATTGAAGATTAGATTACCACTAGGATACATTTTATAGCGACATACGCACTCAAACACACATGTCTTATTCGGTATATATATATATATATATATATATATATATATATATATATATATATATATACAAATTAGAGAAAGAGCAGATGGAGTAAAATTCCACTGTTCGTAGCGTTTACTTTTAAATTTCGGAAAAGAGGTAACACTTTGTTTTTATATTTCCTTAAAAATCATTTAATTGACAGTTACTTACCATCGTCTGAAGTAGTACAATCAAAGTATTGTAACATGAAACCTTTCATGTAGTGATTTCAACCTGTTTTTATTATATTTTCTTATAATTTACTACTATATATATATATATATATATATATATATATATAAATATTAATAAATTTACATATTATCACTTACCGCTAGCACGAGGCAATTTTCAAGTGCTGACTATTAACTCATATTTTTTGTGATAAATTATAACATATATATATATATATATATATATATATATATATATATATATATATATAAAGTGAACATTGAAGTCAACACTTAGAGAAGTCAGGCTGTTTCATTTTAGACGCAATCGTCTGACGATTGCTTCTAGCATGAAACAGCCTGTCGCCACTTTGTGTTAACTTCAGTGTTCACTTTTATATTTACACACGTTCTATGTTTGATATTGAGCACTTTATCCCACAAATATAGCACCCCTTAAGACTATATTTCTTCATATATATATATATATATATATATATGTGTGTGTGTGTGTGTGTGTGAGAGAGAGAGAGAGAGAGAGTGAGTGAGAGAGAGTCCGTCCGTCAAAAAATGTATAGACACTTCAGGAAAGGAACAACTTGTCTTTCGTAGGTTTTAGACTTTTACCTATGAAGGAGCTTTAAAGTATGTTGTGCATTCCAGAAAGCCGATTATATTGGTGGCCCTCAAACAAGAAATTGAAAATGCATGTGCAGCAGTATCAAGGACACTTTGGCCAATGTTGCCCAAGCAGGAGTTCGCCGCACTAATAAATGCCAGGAAGCTAGAGACTACGATTTTGATCATCTCTTGTGATTATAGAGCCCAAAGCTAACTTGCATTAATCTCCTGATGTGTGAATAAATTTAGTATTACAATATCTATACAAATGTTTCCTTCCCTGAAGAATGGATACACTTTTGGCGGGCTCTGTATATTGAAAATTTTTATTTCAAATTTTCGAATTCGTTCTTTTATACAACCAGTAGATTTACCGAAGTTCATTTTTATTTCTCACCCCCGAGTGATTTAGGATGAAATCTATTTTTAATGTTGAGTTCGGAGTTTAAGTAAAATATTTTTTATAACATAGGTTGTTTGAAAGTAAGATGATTATATTATTGGGTTGGTGCATAATTATCAGGTGTTTTTGAAACAATATTTAATATGAAAAAAGGAACATAACAATAGAACAATAACATTTTTAAATGATTATTCCGGAGTATATGATTATCGACACGCATTTTTATAATTTGAAAATAAAATGATATAATAATAATTATGCTGATAATTATGCACCAACCCAATAGAAATTAATAGTATTGAACCAAACAATTCTTGCTGCCTAAATACATCTTATTTAATATATATATATATAAATGTATCTGGGCGCATCTTATAGTATATACAAGGCGAGGTTGTTATATAAGACCACCTTTTAGCGCACGCGCGTGTGTGTGTGTGTGTGTGAGAGAGAGAGAGAGAGAGAGAGAGAGGATGAGGGCTGTTTTCCAAACGGAACATAAAATTATGTGATATGATGCTCATATTTCGATGTTTTTTTGAACTTATGAAATTATTAGCAAGGTCATTTGAAAACCTTGTTTTTTTTTATTCAAGATTCATTAGTTACATTCCTTGAATTTGTTTTTCACAAATAGCAGTATTCATTATCAGTAATACTTGGTCATACGAACCTAAGATAGACCTCCGTAGGGACAACCCTTTTCACTTCCTCGTAATACACAGGAACAAAACTGGTCAAAACTTCGATTTTATAAATGCCGCCCTAATCAGAAATTAACATAGTTCATTACGCAGGAAATACTTAGAGAGCGTTCAGATAATTAGTTTGTCATATATAAACACATATCGAACACAATTTATGTAGTAATTGTAAGAGTAAACAGAGCTGAGAACAGCAGTAAAAGTCCTAAGCTTTATTCAGCTAAACGAAACTCAGCTACAAAAAGGAAAATAGGAGTTACCAGTTGAATAGCCAACTGGGCGAGTCCATTAGTTGTACATAGGGATCATAGGATACTACTACCACAGTCTTCATTCCTAGAAAAATGTAGCGTTACCACCCATAACGATCTGCGGGTCTTATCCGTTCGGACCTTCTGACCTGTTAGATCCCAGGATCATCTCCGTTATGCGGTGTGTCCTACTCTGGTATCGGGAGACCCAGGCTACTCCTATTTTGTTCCACAGCGGAGGACTCAGGAGTTAACTCCATATCAGGGCAGGGTGGTAAATCACAAACAGATACGGTAGACCCTCTTCCATCTGGATACTTTATGCGGCTTATTGTATCACCAATTTTTATAAGATTATTATAGAATCTAAGATATGTCCTCCTACAACCACAACAGGTGTAACTTAAATTCTTTCGCTCTCACACAAAACATTCTCCGACCAACATACGGGCAACTACTAGGCAGATTAAAATGTCCACTAGACACTTAAACGCATACACGCATACGCATTATCAACTGAATCCCGCAGAGATAAATAAAAATTCTGGTACACATACACACACGGATTATATACGCAAACGCTGCTTGACCGGACAGATACACGTGAAATCTGCTTAAGGAATGAAAAACAAACAACACAAAAATAAAAATACCAGAATCTTTAACTCCTTATATATTATTTCTGATGAAGCTTAAATGAAAGCTAAAATTTATAAACTTTTCCTATTTTCTTTATTATATCATAAAACATGCTGAAGGAAAGTAGCTGTCTTGTTTTAGTCCCAAATCTTATGAGAAAAGACTAGTAAGATTTTGCTTGAACTGATGAGCGGGTATCAGCAAATGGGTCAAGCATTCATATATAATGCTTGATTGGTCTTTTTCTGTGTAATGTTATATCAGTAAGCTCTGAGAGAATAAATTGACGATACATAAAATAACTGGTTATTCAATCTTAGACTCCATCAAATTAACGTTGACCATGGAAGTTTGGTTTGGTTTGTTTTGTTTTGTTTTACGACATATCAACCTCAATGGGTTACTTAATAACGACAATGGTAATATTTTGTTTTGTCAAAAATCTATTTCTGGTAATAATTTTTTCCTTCAAAAATGTATTGCTGGTAATAGTTGTTTTTCTTCAAAAACTTATTGATGATAATAATTTTTTACAAAGTATCTTTCGTTTTAAAACCTATTTTTACACTTTCATAGTGTTTTACACCAGTTTCGGGGTTAACTATTTGCCCATAGCTGGGACCCTAACAGATGCTTCCACCCCGGGTCAGGGTGGACCTGGGAACACCAGCAATTAAAAGGTGGTTCCACACTCATCAAAACCTCCTGATCCTTGCTGTCGGACGTAGTTTATCGTCTTCCCCAGGACGCGGACGTAGTTTATCGTCATACCCAGGACGTGGATGTAGTTTATCGTCTTACCCTGGACGCGGATGTAGTTTATCGTCTTAACCAGAACGCGGATGTGCTTTATCGCCATACCTAGGACAGTCGACCATGGAGGAGGTAATTTCTTCGACATTCGAGGAACTCTGGATTTCAACATTGTGGGTCGGGCGTTTATATAATGTTGTCATCCGCTTGACAGGTGTATATCTTAATTTCAGATTTTCTGTTTTATGTCGCCGTAGTCCGACATCATTTGAGGTTCGATTAGTCATTTAGTGAATATTAGAGTAACCTATATTTTAACCATAAGTGACTCCTTTATGGTTCCAGTGTGAAACCAAGTTCAAAGCTTAATTTGATATTTCTTAGTGACAACTTAGTTCATATTGAGGTCACCACAGATCAATTCCTCTTAGATTAAATCTTCTTGATGGACACTGAAATTGATTCAGACGATTTAGTATTTCCTGGCGCGGATCATATACTACACCTGTATTTATTTATTAACGATGATTTGAAATGCGAAGCGGTGTTTACTAAATTCAGCTTAGTCTCACACAAGATCACAGTGAGAATCAAACAGTTTGCGTGTTTAGCTTGTTAAATATTGCTCGACTGCGATGCAATTTTAACTAAGTGTTATGGTTCAGGTTAGGACCAAAGAAGAACAACACGAACACACACGAGTAGAAATTACGAAGGTATATTACATGAAATAATAATACAAGATGTGGAAGGTGTTAGTATGACTGTCAGTCTGGTTTGGAGTGAACTACTATCGGCTCGACTCGTTTCGACTCTCTCTCTTGAGAGGTGTCGTATACATAGTGTTAGGAAGAGTTCATTCTGTAGTTATAGGTAAGGACCCATGACACTTAGCCGGTCACAATCATTGATAACCGAATTAATTAATTATTAATAATTAATTAATTATTAATGTCAATCTAGACCAGGAATCGGCAACCTACAGCAAGCGTGCCACAAATAACATCACGAAGTCCGAACCAATAACTACTACAATGCAAAGAAGATATTTAGTTGCTTCAATTTTAATATACACTAAAGTATATATACTATATATTGCTATATAAAATATATTGTAGAACAGGTATATTGACCTTGAGTTGTATAAAAATACGTATACGGTTCACACACGGAATGATTTTAAAACCCAAAGTCGGCACATAGTTAGCGAAAGGTTGCCGACTCCTACTCTAGACTATTTTCTTAACGTTTTTATGTTACGCGCCACTTTCGTTATATTAATATAGCACACTGTCATGTCTACCATCTTTCGATCACTGAAATTAAGCAACGTTGAGCCTGAGCAGTACTCAGATGGATGACCCCTGGGGAATACTAGGCGCTGTAATCTATGGGACAATCATGCTACTTATACTAAATACCTCGATATATGCTTGTAGACTGAAAGGTCATAAAGCGTAACTAGATTTGGGTGAGATGATGAGACCTGTCATTTCAGAAAATGGAGATCATGGCCTTCTTTAGTTTTTTTTTAGTTATGTCTGGTACAACGCCACAAATGTAGAGCATCATTAAGGAGCGACATTAAAAGCAATAGCTTATAAAACTCGCACGCGAAACATTACTCAACGAATAGTCAACTAAGAAATTTATTTTTCATGCAAACATTAGTCTGGGAAAAGACCTATCGTTCCATCGCATTTGTGAGTATTGAATAAACTATAATCTATTCATAATAATAATAATAATAATAATAATAATAATAATAATAAAACTTTCTTCCGAAACGCAAGTTGAATGCCTGCAACCTCATAAGTACCGTTAATATCTGGGCTGTATCTATGATAAGGTGTAGTGGAAAAACTGTTTAGACCCGGAACCGATTACGGAGATAGGACCTGTTACAATTCTATGGGACTACACAATACACACTGACCGAACAATCAAAGCCAACCGCCCAGATATTGTTATTAAAGACCAGAAACAACAAAAAAGTGCCTCCGTATTGATATGGCAGTCCCTGCAGACAGCAACGTATCTTTGATAATATTTAAAAAGCTGTCAAAATACAAGGACCTTGAAATAGAAATCTCGAAAATGTGGCACATGGGAACATCAACAATCCCTGTTGTAGTTGGAGCCCTAGGTTTGGTTGAAAATGATTCCAGTAGACTAATTGAAGGGTTTCCTGGAAGTCCATGCCTCAAATAGATACAAAGAATTGTTCTCACAAGTACAGCCCACACTTTACGAAGTGATTTATCTATGTAATTTTTTTCGTCAGTGGAAAGTGTCATGATGCCATTTCTAACCTTAGGTCCCTCTGCGGGACCCGGAAAAAAATGTGTAAACGACAGAAATCAAAGGAAATAAAAATAAAAATAATAACAATAATAAAACTTTCTTCTGAAATGCAAGTTGAATGCCTGCAATCCCATAAGTACCGTTAATATCTGGGCTGTATGTCTGATAAGGTGTAGTGGAGAAAAACTGTTTCGTGGGCAAATGAGGAATTAAAAACTCTGGATAAGAAAACCTGAAAACTGCTTTTTGCGAATGGTGCTCTGCCCGAAACGAAAAATGTGATAAGATAATGCACTTAAAAGAAAGAGATAAATGACTTATTGGCAATAAAGAATGCATAGCAAGGGAACGTAGGTTCTTAGACAGATATTTGGTAAACAGTGAAGAGGCACTCATTCTTGACAAAATCCAAAAACCTTGTAAAAGAAAGCATCGAGATCAAAGAAAGAATATATGATGAGGATACCAAAAGGGAAGCTAAAAGCAAGAGAGTCGATGCTGCTTCATCGATAGTTTGAAAGGAACACCAAGATTATTAAGATAAAGGATTCTAGAGATTGGTTGACGAATTGAAACGCAAAGCTGGTAACCGCCTAAGACCAAGCCCTGAACAAGATTTTTCTACGTCTATGAAATAATTGATTCGAACAAGTGCAGGTTGTGTAGCAAAGCAGGTTGAAAATGTAAGCTGCATGATTAGCGCTTGTGGAATGTTTCCAAAGAAAGACTACAAGCACCTCCAAGATGAGGTGGCTTTTCATCTGTATTGAAGTCGAACTGAAATGGTACTGCTAAAAACTGGAGAAGGTGATCAAGAACTAACAAGGGATTCTGGGATTTTAACTTCCAAACAGAATATCAAACCAGACATCACAGTTGCCGAAAAAAAAAAAAGCGAAAACAAAAACAAACCAACAGGAAAATGCCTCCTCATCGATGTAACTGACCTTGGTGACCATAATATCAAACCCATAGAAATTGAAAAGCTTAAAAAGTACACTGACCTGATTAAGGTTACCAGAATGTGGAGTGTTCACACCACTTTTGTTTCAATTGCCATTGGAGCGTTGGTGTCTATACCAAAGAACGTAAAAACCCACACCAGTTTTTATGTTGGCGTCCGCTTCTACGTCCATCTTCAAAGGTGCCTTGCACGGTGGTCATGCACAGGCTGCTGTGCCTATAAATAATACAGGTCATAATAAAGAAATTAAAAATAAATTAATATTTCTTTTTTTTAATTAAGTGGTTGGTATCCTCAATTGAAAGGTGGTATTTGAAGTGCATTAATAGTAGACCACCATGATTTATTTATACCAATACATTTATCACCCCTCTCCCGCCCTTTTAACCCCCCCCCCCGGTATTTAATTTCGTCTTGAGTTGTGTGCGTCACTATTCTGGTCTTGCCTCAGTTTAATCAACATCAATATCCTTTTCGAGCGCCTGCAGTAGTTTTAGCAAATTTCTCAAATCATTACTTTTAATTTCCTACTCAATTGTATGCTGTCGAAATTTTATGCTAGAATAAATATCTTAGGTCACCTGCTCTAGAGCGATAGTTAACAAGATTGCTTACAGGCTTTTTATTGAGTGTTTCATCATCAGTAAGTGCCTGAGAAATATGATCTTGTGTCAAACTTAGGAATGCAGCTTTTAGTATATTTGAGATTTATCCCTATGGCTCAAATCTGAGAAAGGAATTCTTCAATTTGGAGATTTTCCCATTTGCAAAGTAAATACAAACTGTTTTTTACTGATCATTTTTTTAAAAATCTTTTTTAGATTGGGAAGCAGATCTGGATGAAGAGAAACTGACACCGGTGTTCCAACAGAAGCCAGAAAAGACGCCGCCTCCGCCGCCACCAAACCCCTTTTTTTTCTATTAAACTCGGCAGACCACAACGGAAAATAAATGCCGAAGATAAAAGTATAAAAAAAGAAAGAAAGAGTAATTGCTTTGAAAATCCGAAAACGATATCCAGGCTTCTTACCTGGGCTTAAATACCGACCGTTAATGCCAGTGGTAAGTACACAACTATCTCAACCACTAAGTAAACTATAACTCGTGTGCTTTAAGTGGAATGTTACAGCTTCACTCAAGGTACTTGTCATATGGTGATTTGTAATGTACAGGCATGTCTGGGTTCAAGAGTTAATCGTAGAAAGGTCGTTTTAAGTAGAGATAGAGTGTGAGACATTCAACCATGTGGAAGGAAGTAAATGCCGAACTTTTGCTGATAAAAAGAGATGGGTTTGTTAGTTTAGCGGCATATCACCTCATGGGTCATTTAATGCCAAAATTCAGTTTTCTTGAGAGCATTAAGCGATTTTACTTACAAAAATGTATCGCTGGTAATTTTTTTCCCCAAAATGTATTCTTGATATTTTTCTATAAACATGTATGCTTATAAAGAGATTCGATAAATTTCAGGACCATTGAAATAATGACTGAAAAGATTTATTCTTACATGTGCCTCAAGTGTGTTCTGCTGAAATGAATATCGGATTGGAATGAGAATTTTACCGGCGAGTACATATTCCTTTCTTAAGGCTCTCTAATGAGTAGGTCGATAGACATCATTTACACTGTTTAAAGAAAAACATAAAAAACAGGGCGTCTACTCAATCACATGTATGTAGAAAAATAACGTTTACAGAAATAAGATATAATGCCAGATTAAAAATAAGATCCATCAATTACTTAGAAATATGTTCATGTTATAACGCAATCATTTTCAATTCCCATTTAAGCAATGAAACAAAAAGGTTTTCAAAGTTCAAGTGATAACATATTTTGTAAAAAAGAGTTCACTGAAATAGGAAACAAAGATAATTGTTATTAACATGTTGACCTCTAGAGGTCAATTACGAAATCTGACCTCAAACACCGACTTTATAATAGCCAATAAGGTAATAAAAAAACTTTCATGAGATGATTTATAGTTTCAACTGAAGTTTTAATATTGTTTTCACATTAAAAGTATCACTGCCAGTGAACTCTTTGCTGGGTGCCCGCACATGAAAATGTATCAAAAAATGCCAACCACGAGATAACTCGTTGACAGCGTAATCTTAAAAACCGCCAACCATGAGATAACTTAATGTGTTAATTAAGAATTCAAGAATTACCGAAGTTGGTGACGTAGAATTCTCTATGGTATTAGAATAGATGTCGACATTCGAAGAGAAAGCAGATTTGACCTGCATGGCAAATTTAAAAGATTCTTGACGAAATCTTATATTTTTTTTGGCTTTAGGCGTGAGAAGTTTTATTGGCTGACATGTTTTCTTGTTATATTTTATTTTTCAGCCGGACGTTGGGTGAGTCACTTGTGCACATACGCGTTTTCGTTCATTTTATTTTAGCTACGGAAGCGTTAACTTGCTTTCGCGTCCTGTTCGCTACAATTTTAATTCTCACCTGGTATTGATCTCGAATTAGCTTGACTCCGTTCAAGATCAAATGTGACCAAGGATATTGTACTGAACCATGTTTCCAGTCTACATGTTTTTTGCAATCCTGGTTTTATATCTGTGCTCGAACAACAGTCATCATCTGCGTCAATAACAAATATGTAGTTATCTGAATGAGGTTGACAAACGATAATAATGGTTACAATGTTTTTGTTTTTCACTCATGATTTAAAAATAAAAACTAATTGTACTGTTATCTTGTCATCTCCTTAAGCTGCTTAAATTAATCATGGTTAAAAAAGATTCTTTGGAGCACTTGGTATTTAAGATTCTTAAAAGCAATTATAACACAGACACTGAAAACATACAAAATATCTGCGAGTTTAGAAAACGATCAAATTATTTAGTTTCAAAAGATGTACATATTGTTTTTATGTTTCCTTTAACTTTTGCTATACACGTACGTAAAAAAGAAAAGTGGAATTTAAGTTTTCATAAAATTTTTGGATCCCCACGGATAATATTTTAAAGCCGAAACCAGAGCAGCCATACCTTTTCTCCAAACACGATTGAAAATAAGTTCGTCTGTACTGTCCATAAAAAAGTCCAAGTTCAAGATTTGAATTAAGCATTTGTAGAACTCGTATGTACCTTGCCTTGTGCCATC